AACAGGAGGTCTTCGACCAACCTGCCCACCCCGGGAATGTTCTAAACAAGTGACCTCCAGATCAAATCATACATCCTGTCATTCAATCGTAGCAACATTCCCAACATAAGCGAGTGTTCAATAAAATAGATAAAACCATAAAGATCACTGAATTTCATTGCTTTCTGATAAATTTTGTGAGTTACATTCTTGTTCGAATTTCTCAGTCGTCGTACAGAAGTAATAACATATGTGAAGAGAAAAATTTTCAAACATAATATTTTTTCAGATTAGCTATGTTCCATGACCTGGCAAGTGATCGGCCTTCGGCATCCTTAAGCGAGTACGCTCCTCCTGCGTGTACTCGCTCGACCAGGTATGGTCCTTCCCAGTTTGGCTCCAGCTTTCCCACGTGCTTGAGTACATCGACACGTTTCCAGACTAAATCGCCGACTTGAAGTTTGCGAATCTTCACTTTCTTGTCGTGAGCCACGCGCATCCTCTGTTTATACGCCTCCACCCTGACTGCTGCCTTCCCTCGTAGTTCCTCTATAGTGTCTAAAGCCGCTATCATCAAGTCTTCATTCTGCTCTGTATTGTAAGCGCTCGACCTCTGGGATGGCATCTCGATCTCGACTGGCAGTAACGCCTCCATTCCGTAAGCCAAGCTGAATGGGGTTTCTCCAGTGGTCGACCGCGGAGTTGTGCGATATGCCCATAACACAGAGTTCAACTCATCAACCCATGCTCCCGAGGCCTTTTCCAGTTTCGTCTTTAGCCCATTCAATATGATCCGATTGGTTACCTCGACCTGGCCGTTGGCTTGCGGATGAGCTACCGAGGCGAAATGCTGCTCGATTCCCATATCTTAGCACCACGCTCGAATCCGCTTGCCATTGAATTGGGTGCCGTTGTCGGAAATCAACACCTTGGGTATACCAAAACGGCAGCAAATGTTGCTATATAGGAATTTGATTACTTTCTCTTCTGTGATCTTCGCCAAGGGCTCAGCCTCCACCCATTTCGTGAAATAATCGACCGCCACTATCAGGAATTTCCTCTGCCCCGTTCCCTGCGGCATTGGCCCCACCAGATCGACCCCCCATTGAGCGAATGGTATAGGGGCACTCATCGTTGTCATTGCTTCAGCCGGCTGATGGATCAAGGGTCCGTGCTTCTGACATTGCAAGCACTTTTTTACCATCACCTTCGCATCCTCTCGCATTGTCGGCCAGAAATAACCTGCCCTCAGGATCCTTGCG